GACGAGTGTTTCGGCGGAAGTGGCTGGAAAAAGGAAGAAAAATAATAGAAGGGGAAAGGAAGAGTGGCGGTGGTTGGTAGTCCAAGTCGGACTGGTGGAACATGGCGAAGATATGGTCGAGCGAACTCGAGTCGTAGGAGGAAGCAAAATAGGAAGGGAGTTGAAAGAGAGAAGCAGGGTGGGGGGGAGGGGGAGGAGTGGCGACGTCGATGCTGGGAAAACATCGCGAAGCATTGTGAGCGAAATACCACAGTTCGCGCGGGATCCTTTTTTGGGCGGCGGAAGCACGAAATTGCTGGAGCGCGAAAGAAATCGTCGAAAAGAAGTTCTCTCTCTCGCGAGCAACATAAAGTGCGAGATATACGCGCGGACGAACGCCGAACTTCGCAAAACATTGTTTTTCACGCGTGGGAAGAGAGTTTCGAGATCCTCCCGACCAGAAATCCCGCTCGTCGCCAGCACCCGGAACTTCCACATCGATAAATCCACGATCAACGGAATACCGCGCAAAACGACGGGTGCAACTGCCGTGGGTAATTCGGCAGCGTGTTACAGGAGATTTTAGAATCGTCTGTATAGCACTGGACGTCCACTGGAGAATTTTATTTCTACAAATATAAATATTTTTTAAAGTATTTTTATAGAATCGTAAAAGAAGGTTTTATGTAGAGTGCATTTATTAGAAGAGAAGTAATATAATAGCCTCATTTACATTCTGTTCAATAGCAATTGTTAGATAAATCATTATCGTCGATTGATTTTACATCAAATCAGTATGTATATCGAAAATATCACGATAAAAAAAACCGAAAGCGATACAAGCCGAATCGCGTGTTTGGATCATTTACGCTAACTGCTCGTATTAAATCCCATAGAAGAAACGGGATATATCGGCGGAATATATATCCGATTTCGATAAAAGTTTCCTCGTGCGTTTATCGCGTGCACTCGTTTTTTTATCTCGACATTCGAAGCTGGCACGCGAGCTAGCATCGCGTCACGTCGCGAATAAGAGAGGACGAACCTCGAAACACGAGCTTGGCGTCTCGATTTCCTTTCATAAATCAGGAGAGCCTGGTATATTCTTACGGTGGAATATCGATATCGAATCCTAGAGGGTGTACAGACACCGATGTCTTTCTTCCCTCTTCTATATTTCTCTCTTGAAACCCCCATCGTCGGCATTCACCCCAGAATTAAAAGAGCAGTTTTCTTCCCTTTTTCCTTTCGCCTGTAGGCCTAATCTCTTGTCTACCCTGCTGAAATTAGGGAATAAAGGCGTGAAAAAGAATCGAGAAGATGAGGAAAATAAATGGAAAAATGGTACATTTCGTGAATTAATATTTTATAAAAAGCTGAGAGTAATCCGATTAAATTGAATATATAATTTGCATGTTCAAGTAAAATATGAAAAAATGTTACAAATTTCTGATCTTATTAAAAGAATAAATTGCTACCAATAATATGATTTTAATGTATTCATTTAATTTTCTAATTTAATTAAAAAATTTAATTAAAATTGCTTTCTGATTTTTTTGTTTTTCTTTGTTCGTTTTACACACTATATATTTAAGTGTAACACTGTAAATCCTATTTTTAGCATTATGTTTGCACATTATTTACACATTTGCGTTAAAATTCTGCGCTAGTCTAATCTCGCGAACGCCGGGTGTGTGATAACTCAGGTCATTCTGATGAGCCTTACGACCAAGTTCCAACCGCTCTTAAAATATGCAAGAGAAGGAGAAAGAGAAAGGGATGGTGCGCGAGCAGCCGGGATCCACGTCGAAATAACCCTCGGGATAATTTAGATTCGTAGAGCGGAGTAAAGCAACAGACAAGAGCGGTGGCAGAACGCCGGTGGTGTGTATTGATCTAAACGGGAACCCGTGAAAGCAATTAAGATAAGGCACGGTAACAAAGGGTTGTCGGCTGCTTTTCGCGGTGAAAAACAGTGCAGGGGAGAGGGATATACATGTAGCAGATACGTGAGAAAATGCAAAGTAGATCTGTTGATCTTGAAAAATAATTAAAACGCGATATTTATTAAACAGCGAAGGAGACAAAGTATGAATTGTGTTTATGATTTGGAAAATTATAATTTACTCATGATAGGTGATACGCAGCATTTTTCTGATTAAAAGCATGTGGTTAAAAATATTTGCGCTAACATTAACGCATCGAATTAATGCGGCAATTTTCCTAACTGCATTGGTGCATTTTGCGGGGTACAAATTAGTTGAGCGATTAGCCTGCTTTTCACTGAAATGTCGTATTAATGTAGCTCATTCGCAAACGACTCTCGAAAACGACGAACGTAGCATCGAAGCTCAGACAGTACGAGTTTATATACTGGGTATTTCATACAGAGCCACGTGTCGCGTACGTGTCAATCGTGGAGAGAAAAAAGGAGAGAAAACGGGAAAACACGGAGAAAGACGGAGACCGAAGGGCATCGAGAGCAAGAGCGTACGACTCGGGCAGAACGTCTGAGTCGTAAAATGTTAACTGCTAGTAAAACTGAGTTTACGCGCTTGTAAGGACCCCCGTAGGAGACTGACGCCGCCCCCGGTCCCTCTTCAGCGTGGCAGCATGCAGGGCCGCCCCTTACACCCCCTAATAGCCAGATTATTGCTCGTAAGCCAGCCATTCCCGCTCGAATCCGCCCCCACATGAAAATAATTCCAAAAGAATGTTTAATTCGTACGGTTTCTTATACTTCTCTGTTGGATATATCAAAAAATCGACATTTCAAATTCATGCCACAATAAAAACGAATATTATCGTTTGCGTTATGGAATTTTTCGCATAATATTTATGCGTACTTATTGCAGAATCAATTTTTATAATTTTATTATTGAAATAATAATATACTGAGTGTGTATGTGTGTAGAAGAATTTATTTATATTATAGTCTACATTATTAACAATATTCACTTATTTGATTAACAAGTAAATTCATAAATGATAGTTATATTTGATTTTTATAATAACTATAAGAATGATGTACGGTGGATCTTAAATTATCACGAAACTTAAATGTTGTTTTTCCATTTTCTTTCTGCTTTTTTACTATAAATATATTGAAAATTGTATAAATTTTATTGTCTATTATTACAAATGCAGAGAGCGAAAAAATTAAAGATATAAGTTTTTCATAGATAAGAACGGGAATATATTTATGTCCGCCGATGCTCTAAAATGAACGCTCGTATCAGTGGTCGAAATTGCTCAGCCTTTTAACTTTCAATGGTGCAAGTTCTTCCGCGTCGCCGTAAAACGACGTTTTATTCCGTCGTCTTCAGCAAGCGACACCGCGTTTGGAGGTTTTTCATTTTTAATTACCCACAGTGTCATGAAAAGTTCCTGCTACTGCACGGAAGTTTTAATGGACGCGTTGACTATCGTTAACCCTTTCTTAAGTCGTTTGTGGAAGTGCCGCGAGACGCGCTGCGATTTCGAAACTTATTTGATTTCATTTCCGGAGACTCGTTTAGCCTGACTGTACATTCCTCTATCATAATTTAATTTTCAGCGTCATTTTCGTGCCAAATGCCATCACTGAAATATTCGTTCAATCCGAAAGCGATGAAATCCATTTTAATCGCCCAGAAGTAATAATTGTGATTTATTGTTTTTCCAGTTAAAAATATTTTCTGTAAATTTGCTCGGGAACAGGAATAGCTTCGAAATAACGAGGCAAAATTCGGAAGCAGTGATATATATGAATGCAGCAGATAAATCAATTAGTAAATTAGTACAGAATTGTTGAAACATTTTATTCGAAGAAATGTTCTCTCATTATTCAGAACGACGCGTTTGCTCTAGAAACTCTCCCTAGAGTCTTATCGAAGATCCAGGACTCTAGTCCTCGTTTCCACTGGCGTAATTGTTACACTTCGTATAAATGTATTAGCCCCGCGCATTTGTTTCACGCCTCTGCGAGTTCTCGAGAAGTCGCGTACTTTCCCCTTTTCTTCGCATCTCCAGGGACTTTTTTCGCGAACTCTGGCGAAAAGTGGCGGAGGAGAAAAGTTTCGGGCGAATTCAAATAGCGACTCGAGCAATTGCAAATGCAAGTTTATTCATAAAACTCATCGGGAGGTCAGAGAAATGTAACTTGCTGAACAGTTGCATAAGCGCCTTCGTAGAAATAATACAAGAAATGAATACTAATCAAATATTGCGTACATAAATTGGCAACAAATACGAAGACAATTAAATAATGTTGATTTTTATTTTTAAAAGCTTGCCAATCAATTCTTTTTCGATGTTCTTACTGATTATGATAAAAATGACTAGAGACTACACTTTTTATCTTAATCGCACACAAACAAAAAACGCATTTTTTGCGATTCTGTATAAGCATTCTGTATGATTCGTGTATAAACATTCGATTTTTCTGAAAAAGTCTACGTGACGCTTCTTCGAAGAAGCTCAGGGCTCTATTCCGCATTACTCGCTTCTGTATACATGCCGGGAGTTTGCTTCGGAAGGGGTGCTAACTGTCGAAGGCGACGGGGCTGCATCTTCGTGATGCCAGGAATCGTTGTGTGCGAGAGCGACGGGAGAACACGTCGGGGGGTATGCGAAAAGCGGGGTATAGAAAGTCCCTCGCTCTGCAGTTTTATGGGTCGTCCAGCTCCATCATGCGTCGTAAAAGTACAATAAAACCGCTGTTATACCGCGGAAAACTACCCGCTCTAAACCACTGCGTGCGACGGGCCCTAAAGACGAGAAAAAGAGGACCGGAGACGCTTGGGAAGACAGCCGAAACAAAATTGATTCTTTTATGATCGACAAACGCACGACGCAGAAGCTGCGCGAGCGATCTCTTGGATTTTCACTTAGATAGGTCGACGTGATACTTTGGCGCCTCTCTTCGAGGTCTTTACATTAAATTAGTCGTTTTTCAGCTTCAAACATTTTCTGTATAAATAATTTTCGAAAATTATATTCTTCCATATGTCAACTTTAACGATGTTCTCGTCTGTTTTCAGTCTTGTCCTTGAGAAACACGCAAGAAGAGGAACCGCCAGATCCACAGCTAATGAGACTGGACAATATGCTGATAGCGGAAGGTGTTGCTGGACCAGAGAAGGGCGGAGGTGCGGGGGCCGCTGCCTCGGCATCCGCGGCAGCCGCCGCCGGACCACCTGGACAACCGGACAACGCGATCGAACACTCTGATTACAGGGCTAAACTCGCTCAGATTAGGCAAATTTATCATCAGGAACTGGAAAAATATGAGCAGGTTTGTGTAAAAAAAATATATATACACTCACCCGAAAAAAAAGCGGTACACTGAAAATGTGGGAAAAATTCATCAAATTTCAACTGACGATAACTTCGTAAATAATAAAGATAGAAAGTTCTATAAAATATGGAAATGAAGCTAAAAATCTCTACTTTAAGAATCAATTTATTTCAATGTTGCAAAATAAATTTATTGAAAATGGCGGATGACAAAGCGCGAGCATGCAAAATTGAAAAATAATGGTTCGAGTTTGCGACGGTGCACGGTATAAACAAAAAATTAGTAGCTTATTGGGATCAAAAGCGTACGAAAGTACAGAGTCTCCTCTTTAAAATGCTTTTTATGCATCTCGATACGATGATTTTTCGCCGAGAGATTCGCATTTGAAGAAAAAGGCAGATTCTTACTTCTAGGCCTCTCACTTACAGTACAGTCTGCAAATCGTTCTCCAACGCGACGGT